TATCATTAAATAAAGTATTCATAAAAAATATCAATATCATTACTCTGGTAGAGAATTTTGTGTACAAATTCTATAATCATAGTATTTTGCACAGCAAAAAGGACCCATTTTTTAATAAGAAGTAGCTTGTCTGTATTTGGCACCTATCCGCTTCTTGAACTTTGGTGGGCCCATTCCAAAACCCAACTCAATAATTCAAAATGGTTATCTTGTAAAGTTTAATTAGATAATGGTACATATATTAATAATGGATAATGTTTCGAAACAAATGTGATTTAATTAAATTATATGTTTATAGTTAATCAATCAATTTAATTATTTTTATGAATAATCAAATTAAAAAACTCTACAAGATATATAATTTGAATCCTTGAAGTAAATCCCTTAGGACCCACCAAGACCCAACAGGAGCCAAGTTGCTCTTTTTTTAATGAATAATGTTATATGTACTAATTAATATACTAACTAGTATACTAACAGATAATGTGGCATAATTTTAGAAGTTTTGAATATTTGTACTTTATATAATAAATGAAGTTAATAATAATAATATAATACTAGTTGATACACTAATGTGTACATTAATTAATGTATGTAGTACCACCATTTTTTAATATTCGGTTTCAATAATTTTCATTTGTTCCTTAGCTTGGTCAAGGTGCTAATAATTTAACACTATATCAAGCCTAAGCTGTCCATATATCGCAAAAATCGTGTTCATTGTCCACATTCTATCTCCTCCATATCCTTCCATTTGTGGCAAACACGAACATGAGAGATGATAATTTATATGGTCCCTCATTTTGAGGTGTGTCCATTTGCCGTTGCTTAGAGTTTAATTTGTATGTATGAAATCATTGTGATGCATTTGTGACAATATTATTAAGGAAAAATTACATGATAGTTGTTGTTTGGGGAAAATAATTATAAAAAGATAGAAAATATTATAAATATTGATAATTAAAATTAATTTTTTTTTACTTATATATAATAATTTTTAAAAATTACCTCTGAATAGTAATTTTCCCTATTATTAACGGCAATGAATAATTATACAATGATCTAAGTATATGTTTTTTAATGTTTTAAAGATTATCATGATTAACTTGTCTGAAAAAAAGATTATCATGATTAACAATTACTGGGAGACAACGTTGACAAATGCAAATTCTCGAATTAAATGTCAAATATCCACCAAGTCTCCATACCACGATTCAATATAAACAAATCAAAAACAAAATGACCCATTAAATCACTAATCATCCAATGGATGCATCCATAGAAGTTGTAATATATGCGGAAAAAAGAAATGGGATTGCTAAAAAGATGTGGCTTTTGAATCTCTTAGAATTTTGGTGATATTCAATTCAATTCAAACCAATTAGTAATAGAGAGACGGATCTCAAGATTTTATGAATCAAATTTAAGTAATTTGGAGAAGTGGTATAATATAAATCTCTAACAATAGCTATATCATTTGTATGTATGGTCCTGCATGGATATGCCTAATAGGTTTGGTATAAACCACGTCGTTTGGTGTAATTTATTATAAATTAAAATTTGATATTAAAAAATGAGAAATCAAAAGCATTTTTATTTAGTTTTTAGATAATTAGTTTTTTTTAAGTTATTTAAAATATTTCACCAAAAAACCTATAAGTAAAGTTAACACCAAACAACTCTACATAGATTTTCAAAATAAAAAAATAAATAAAATTTATAAACAACTCAAATAGGCTACAGCAAACTGCTGAGATGTAGAAGTGTGCCCCATGTTTATTATGATTGGTTGAAGATGTGAAACTTACAATTTCGTATTAGGTGATTATGAAACATGAGGAGATATAATAATATATGATTGTTCAAGGGTATGGCCACGTAATGCCCTAGATTAAGAAATAATTTTTCCAACTGTAGAGCTAAATAGGAAGAGATTGAACTTTGGTCCTCTTCATTTCATATATTTCAGGAAGATTTCCATTACATACTTAATGGTTATGAAATAGGAATATAAAATTATAATTATTCAAAATTGAAAAAAATATTACACTCACTACTAAATAATATAATAGAACCTATCCATTATAAATTTGTAATGGCGAGGATTATATTCCGCAGAAATTAGGCTCAAAGACTAAGATGGTACATTTTATACACTAGCCATGTAATGAAATTGAGAATATAAATAACCGACACAGAATGAAGGGGCTACGTATGGAAAGAACAAGTGTGAAACTGTGTAGGCTCCACGTAGCATTCCAATTCACAGACGGATTCACAATTTTGAAAAACAAACAAGAGAGAATAACAACATCGTTATTGTTAGTATGTCATTGTTTTTTGTCGTACATTTATACATAACTGCTCAAAATCAGGGTTTCAAGAATAAGATACTTACGCTGTATTTGGTTGGGGGATTTGGAAAGGAGAAAGGAAAAGGTACGTGAAACTAGGTGAAATATAGATATGTTTTATTCACATTTCACCTACTTTTTTTATTTCTCTTTCTAAATATCTCCTCAAATTTTCCAACCAAATGCAGTATTAAAGACCCTCCATACCTTTTAACACGCACTCTTGTACTCAACCTTGCATAAATACCAAAAAACTAAAAGAAGAAACAAGAGAGAGAGAGAGAGAGAGATGTAAAAGGGGACAGATTAGGGGGGTGACGAGGGTAGGGGTTGTGTTTGGATTTTTTGTTATAGAGAGAAACGGCTAAAAGGGTTTTTATGCGGGAATGGTCACGTGAATGAGGCGTTTTTGCTGTATTGCTTTCAAGCTGTAATGCGAGTAATGATCTTGAAGTATTAATTCACATTATGTAGGTGTTTGGTATATATTACAAAAATATATATTTTTTATATATATATACATTTATTTGGATCACATCAATTAACATTTATTAACATCTATTAATATCTCATTTCTACTTTTCTACTTACTTTCTCTACTTTTCTACATATTTTTTTTTATAAAAAAATGAAAAAGTACACTTATTTAGAACATCCCAAATAACCTCTATTTATTTTTTCATATTTATTTTGATGTCCATTAAAAATATTGTAAAAAGAATGAGACACACTATTTGGGCTAATAAAAAACACATTGATATTACCTGTCTTTATTTGAAGATTATTAAATAATTTTTTACAACTCCACCTTAACATATTACATGTCTTTATTTTAAGATTATTAATTTTTTTTTAGAATTTCATTTTCTTAAAAGAAAATAAAAATGTCATAGAGGTATTACATCACATCAATTATGACTTAGATCTTATTTGGCATGATCTAATATTAATACACTTTTTCATCTTTTTAGTTTTTTTGAGTCATATCACTTCTCTATTTTTTATACATTTTTTCATAAAAAATTAAAAGGTGCACTTATTTAAAAAGTGACGTGATGTTATACAATTCTTTCATTTCAAATTAAAATAATTATTGTGTGAGTGATTTTCTGACCACACTGCAATCTTAGTGTCCAGTTGGAGAACACCGGCAGAATATATGGCACCTGACTAACCTGCAACAAAAAGAAAAGACTCCGGTGGTGGTTCGCCACCATAAGGTGCTCCGACGATCAAGTCAGTACTCAATATTTCTCAAATATAATCAATAGTGCTAAACTCACTAGCTTGAGCATAAAAAGACATACCTTAGACCCATGGGTGCCTCTCTTTTATAACCAACTCAATCCTAGTCCCAATGGAAGCCTAACTCCAATGGACTCAGGATTACTGCTAATCTTGGACTCCCAATAGGATCAGAATAAGCTCTCTAAGAGTCTCATCTTTACCAAAACTGAAGTCTCCTCCCATTCTAGGACTCTTATTCTTTATCTGCTTATCTTGGATTTCGATATATAACCTCGGCCTAACCGAGATGATCTCGGCATAATGACCAGGACACGTGGCACCTCGGCTAACACGTCAAGGTCGCCTTGCCACGTGTTGGTACTCAGAAAATATATCCCCACAACTATTATTATGATTGAGATAGATCCAGGATTTTAACAAACACATAATAATAAAAGAAGTTTTAGAATAAAATGTGAACTAAAATATCATTTTTTTTTTCCTGACGTAAAGAGAAAAATGAGTTGAAAATATATATAAATGAATATTTTTTCATGTTGATTTGCAAAAGATAATAATGATAAGACAATTTATGTATTAAAATGAGACTTCTTTAAATTGCATTCAACGTTCTTTCATATTATTAAAAATATATATGATAATAATATAAAATTACAGCTTATAATCATTACTAGTTTTGATAAATTAATTTCTTTTGTTATATTTTTTGTATAATTTTATATTTTGATTTAATATTTCATAAATATAGAACTTTACTTATATTAACTTAAAAATGACTACCACTTAAATTTTTTTTTTTTTTTAAAAAAAAACGTATAGCTTCTATAAATAAGGGCCTTATAATTTCACATTGAGGCTTTTGGGATTGTGAAAGTCTAGGGACCTAGATAAATGCTTAGAGAAATATCCAGATTTGTAGATGAATAGTGTAGGTTTACCTTTCATGATGTGAGACCACAGCCGAATAAATTTTGGCCATTAAATATAAATTCTGGACATAATTCTGAATTTTTGGTTTTTTTCTTTCTCTGAGAATGTAGAATTGTTATTTGGGTATGTAGCAAACGACACGCGATAGGAGAGGCAAGTGAGATTGAGAATGGCTTCAAGTTGGGTGAATGATTTTATCGTACGCCACCTACTAAGCCTCCACTTATCATGCAACGAGGATGAGTTCAATGCGCACACTCTCTCCTCTTCTTGGTCTCCTATATAAATTCCTTCTATATAACCCCACCATTTCTATACCCTTCCTTCCCTTCTCCACCTGCATGAGATCCTGGGCTTGGTCGGGAATCAAAAAGCTAGGGTTTCTTCTGAGACTCCTTCAATTTTGAGCACACATACAGAGAGAGAGAGAGAGAGAGAGAGAGAGAGAGAAAGAGTTTGATTGAAGAGATGGAAATATTTGGTGTTCACCACCCACTGGTGTTTACATTTGGTATCTTGGGTAAATGTTGAAATGTTATCACCACCTCATAGATTGAGTTTTTGTCCTCCTTCATTCTCATCATTTTCAGATAATCGGGAACCTAGTATCTAGGTAGAAGTCTTTTGAACGCACTCCAAAATAGTCCACTCAAGGTTTAAAGATCATTAATCTCTAAGCCTGCGAACCCTAAAAAGAGATTTGAACCCTCATCAGCAATGAGGGAGCATACCCACTTACCAACTCGGATAGCCTCTCAGGAGTCTTCTTCTTCTTCTCTTCTTTTTTTGGTGTGTGTGTGTGTGTGTGTGTGGGTAATCACTGTTAGTCATGAAGGGGGCCTAGTACCCATAAATCCAGTTCTGGTTTTAAATTATCTAGTTTACCCTGCTATGCTCTCCTACTAGTCGAATAAGTATTGTTTGGCACTTGTAATTGTATTGATCCTCCCTAGTTCTTTACTTAAATAGTCACATATCAAACTTCTTTCTAAATTCAATTGATGTACCTCAATTGCCATCATATTCAGCCTAATACATCAATTAATCCTTTTTTTATTTCTAACTAATTTACAGTTCAATTTTGGGTATGTATATATGCAATTATGCATTTCTATATGCACACGCGTTTGAACTTACATGCTTAACCGTAACACTTCAACCTTTTACCACGTTATTTTTACTTTACTATAACTTATGTTATGTGATTTTGCATGATCAACCTTTCCCGTATCAGACTAAGTAAAATATGTTGCTTTAATAATTAAAGTAAATGATTGTGTGTAATATCATAATCAAGTTATATGTAACATGTAAAATTTTGTTAGGTGTTATTTTTGGGCATGTTAATTAAATCTTGTGTACACATTTGAGCCACTTAACTTTTTTGTCATATGGGAATCACTAACCAAAGGTTTCGTTTTGGATTGAATGTGTTTTAGGTAACATTGTTTCAATCTTTGTGTACCTTGCTCCATTGTAAGTTTCTCATGACCTTTGACTTCATGCTTCAATTGTTTATCACTCTTGAAAATTTGCGTATGATTCAATTGTTTTCATTTTGGTTACAGGCCAACATTTATCGAAATATGTAGAAAAAAATCAACTTTAGGGTTTCAATCCCTACCATATGTGGTAGCTCTATTCAGTGCCACGCTTTGGATGTACTATGCATTACTCAAACCAGATGCAATCCCTCTCATCTCGATTAACTCATTTGGATGCATCGTAGAGACAATTTACATCATCATTTTCCTTGCTTATGCATCCAAAAAGGCTAAGGTAAATTTACATAAGATTAGGGTTCATTGCAAAGTACTCGAACAATTTTTTGTAATCTTCTATGTTTTAAGGATGAATTTTGGATTACAGAACGACACAGCCAAGCTACTTGCTTCTATGAATGTGGGACTCTTCTCTGTGATCCTTCTCATTACACAACTTCTAATTAAAGAGTCATTTCGCGTCTCTGTCATTGGATGGATTTGTGTAGCCATTTCTGTGATCGTTTTTGCAGCACCTCTAAGCATTGTGGTGAGAACACGTCAACATAAAATTATGAACACCCTCCTTTATGTAAAGTTAGTGTCAAAATATTATTTCTCTCTAATAATTTTTCCCTTTCTTGCTCCTCTCAGTTTCATGTTGTCAAAACTCGGAGTGTTGAGTTCATGCCATTTACTTTATCGTTCTTCCTTACATTAAGTGCAATTATGTGGTTCGGTTATGGCCTACTAAAAAAGGACTGGTGTATTGCGGTGAGTGATCTTTATAGAAAACTTTATATTTCCTTTGCAAACATATATACTCATTTCGTCCCAAAATATTAGTTACTTATTTCATTTTTCATTATCTCAAAATATTGGTCTATTTTTAAAAATCGAGGACTAAAATAATATGAGTTTCTTATTTTGTCATTCTTTTAAATTCATTAACAACACAAAAAAGTACAATTATGACACTTGATGTTCCTAAAAAAATATACTATCAAAGGGTAATTTTGAAAATTTAATATTTTTAAAGTGCAATAATTGTACTATCAAAAAAAAATTAAATTTTCCAAAAAAGACTATTAATTTGAGACGGATGGAGTATAACACATTAATCATTTATCCCCATTAATTGTTCCTTTTTATGTATTTTTGCAATATGTAGCTCCCAAACATATTTGGTTTCTTATTGGGGCTGCTTCAAATGCTTCTATATGGAATATATAGAAATGCTAAGGAAGTTGTGAAGGAGATAAAATTGCCGGAACACATTATCAGCATTGTGATGTTGGGAACCTCTGAGGTACATCCTGTAGATGCTCAAATGCCTAGTGATGATGATAACGATGGGGAAGAAGGTGAGAAGCATGATCAAACAGATCATAACCATGAGAAAAGTGTGGATTTAGCCACGCATGAACGCAGCCAACCAAATATGCAGCTTGATTCGTCAGTGCTTGTCATGTGTGCAGCTTGATTTGCATTTTTCATGCACTCGGCTCCATTTACATGATATTACATTCTCTCTCGTCTCTCTCTGGTATATCTAATCTTCACTTGTAACTCCTAAGGTGTGTTGTAACGCCAATCAATGTTATTTTTTTCCTTTTTTTTCTTTATGGCAATCAATGGTTTATTCTTCAAAATCTAAATGGGGTTGAGGTGTAACCAAATCCAAACTTATTTAATGAAAGGAGCTACGTAAGATTGGAGTGATGACGACATCTTAGGTGGCCCAACTCAAATAATCCGAGTTCAGCCCATAAACTTTCAGTGCCTTTTCTTTTGTTGGGACTAACTTTTAGTGCTTCAACTTTACAATTTTAAATTTGGTTTGGGCCCAAATTATAATTCGTAAAGTGTCTTATAACTTGAGTTTGTTAAGATATAAAATCATATATAATAAATATAATTACACATAAAATTTTGATTATTTTTACACAATTCATTAAATAATTCTGCAATTTTGTTATTATATTTCATTAAATCACAACTCAAACCAATTTTCAATATTTCATGTTTGCAATTTCTTGAGATATTTAGCTTTTTGTTTTTGTTTTTGTTTTTTTTTCAAATGGTACAATACATTGGTTTAAAGTAGGGGTGCAACTTGGGCGGACTCAACCCGAGCAACTCAAACTCATCCTGAATTTTTTAGGGTTTGGACAAGATATTTTTAAATTTAGTACGGGCTTAGACAAAGACATCAAACAACCCGAGCAATCCGAAATCCGAATTATACATATATAGATATATAAAAATATTAATATATATAAATTATTAGTCATTATATGATATTAAAATAATTTAAATTATTAAATCATATTGAATATATATTATATATACAAATAATATAAAATCTTACTCTTTTTTTTTTTTACTCATAAATTGTAAAGACTACTATAACGACATCTCTCTTACATTATATAAATTATTTGTTTTGATGGTATTAATGATTCTCTCTATATATGTATATATATATATAATGTAAATAGAGTCAAATTTTAATAATTTAATAATGTAGCTGTAAAAAAAAAAAATTACACTTTGGTCAATTCGGGCAAATCAAGGTTAACTCGAGTCGGGCTTGGACATGCAACCTCGAGTTACAATTCGGGCTTCGGCGGGCCTGGATAGATTTCTGCACAACTTGGGCTGGGGTTGGACAACCTCCCAACCCGTCCAAACTCGCCCGAGTTGCACCCCTAGTTTAAAGTAACTCAATGCTAAACGTCAAGATACATATTTTGTTAAATTTGGACAATTGAGCCTAACTCAAACTATTTGCGGTAAACTCAAGCTTAGACTTGAACAAATCATTTTTAGCTATAGAAATGGGGCTCGAGCCGAATTTCAAAAAACTTCTTCCTATTTTAAAATGAGTTTGATTGGACTCTCAAATTCCCCTGACATCCTTTAGAATCAGAGTCCAAAGTACGATTGGATGCCAAGGAAGGGACTCTGATCTACCATGAAACAGAGATCCCAAATTCCAATCCACTGGCATGATGATTTACAATAGTCAAAAGTGTAGTTTTTGGTGGCAACTTGGAGGCAAGAAAAGGTTATTATGCTACGAATCGTTGAGAAGAAAACTCTAAACTAAGACAGCACAAAAAACAAAAATCACAAGTATATGAGAAGAAAACTAGAATGGAGCTGACATATACAATGAAAAACACAAGGAAAGTGTGATTGACCATAGCAACTGAACTAAAAGAGTAAATCTGAACTATTGATCATTGTCATATTAAAGTTATAGCTGAATACACAACATAACCAACAATGCTCCATTACCAAAAATCACAATTAGTAGTAACCAACACCAGTTTACACCTGATATCCACCGTGTGTATTATACCAATACCAATTTATAACATGACCCAATTTTTGAATACATCATAATCTTCTGCTCTTGTTCTTTTAATAGAAATATACACTACTTGCTTGTATTCTTTCTTGTGTTCCAGAAAATAAAAGAAAAATGGAATTTAAGAAGTACACATTTCAGCCCCAAGTCTCTTCCCATGAGCCTCAACTCTCACTCTTGCTGTGGGACAAAAAACAAAAAAAATCTAGGTTGCACCTTTTAAAAAGCTCACTTCCAGGAGGAAAAAAGTTCACTTCTGCTGTTTCTTCATTCCCAAAATGAACCGAGGTAGTAGATGGAACCCAACGTTATACATTTGAGCATTGCCCATCAGTGCCATCGAAACCACCTTGAGCATTTTCGCGTCTTTTTACTAGCCAATTCTCTCCCCACATTTTGGCCTCGGCAACAGCACGTTCCCTATCCAAGTCCCTATTATTTAACATCCTTGCAGTTTCTTTTGGAGAGTCTTCCTTTTCGAATCCTTCAAAATCCCACTTGAGCCCAGACCCACAGCCTTTATCGTTCCTTAATATCCTTCCGCCTCTCTCATCTTTGGTTCTTTTCTCATCCTTATCCCCGGGGAACCTATAGCTATGCCCCGGTGGAGCAGTAGCATTAGGGTCATACGCTTGGTTTGCCAGATAAGATATGGCGGTGACCACATCTCTGATGAGAGGACGGGCGGCAGCTTGTTCTTGGATGCACATGGACGCCACGGCTAGAGCTTGGTACAGAGCCCGCATTGGATACTGACCCTTCAATCGTGGGTCTGCCAGTTTTGCAAATTTTCTACGGTCGTTGAACAGGGGACGAGCCTGCAATTATGTGAGCCTTCCCAACAGTTAATTATATGCAAGTATTACAATAGCCAACGATAGCCGGACAAATTGGGTTTGACAATTACTTTTTAACAGAAAAAAGTCTAGTAAGGAAAACAAACCCATAAAAAATTTGACTTCTTTGTATTGTTTTGTCTTCGGTGAATTTTTTTTTTTTTTAAATGTTCACTTTTTAGATACTTCTGGACTAAACAGACCTGAAAAGTAAAAAAAATTGACACAAACTTAATATGTCACTAAAGACAAAAAGTTACCAATCTGACAATAACCTACAAGATATAATTTTTTTTTTTAGATTCATACTACAAGATATAATTAGGGTAAATGAAACTCTAGGATAACTAAGTGATTACCCATGAGACAAGGTTCTGTGCTCCATGGGGTAGGGTGCTGTCAATGGCTTTGCGTCCAGTAATAAGCTCCAAGAAAACTACTCCGAAACTGTAAACGTCAGATTTCACAGTCAGTTGTCCAGTCATGGCATACTCAGGAGCACAATAACCGTAGGTTCCCATGACCCTGGTGGAAACGTGCGACTTGTCTCCTGTAGGACCAAGCTTTGCAAGCCCGAAATCAGATAGCTTTGGGTGATATCTTTCATCCAATAAAATGTTCGATGACTTGAAATCCCTATAGATTACTGGAGGGTTTGCTTTGTCGTGGAGGTATTCCAAACCTTTTGCTGCTCCAGCTGCTATTGTCATCCTTGTGTTCCAATCTAGTGGTTCTTTGTCCGGTGGAAGATCTGCACAAATATAATTTCAAATTTTTAAAGACAATTTATAAACAGCTGCTCTTAGATGAGTAATACAAGGGGCAAAAATAATGCCGCATTGAAATCTGTATGGAGTCCCATTGAATATCACCTGATCCATCCAAGCTGCAGCTACTCTAAATTTTACAAGAATCCACTCATTCTCGTTCATTTATTTTTTTATTTTTAGTTGTTTGAGATACTCATGAAATGTTGCAAGAACCCTACCGACAGATATATAAACACCAACCCACCAAAATACCAAGTTAAAGGCCCACTGGATTCTTGAATTTTATTTCTTGTGATCTCATCTTTCCTAATATTCCTTGTGTTTAATCACAGCTAAACTTCATCCTTTCCAATTTGCACACTAGCATGCTTCATCATTCACTTTAATATGTTAACCCTACTTCGCCCGATATGTGAGGCTAGCAGGTGGTCTTACATATCTCTAGATATCATCGAAGGTGGGGGGTTCAAGGGGTTCCTCGTTATCAAAACAGTATAGACTTCATTTTTACAGCCAAAACACATACTTCAAGCACTACTGAACTCTTCAGAGGTTTCTATAATGCCACAATGGTAACTTGCAGTTCATATAATTTAATAAAAACAATGTCCAATTAGTACACATTAATGTGCATTTGGGAGGCGAAAGATTGGATACACGCCTAACCTTTGGCATTGTGCACAAAGTGGTTGCCCCGAGACTTAAACCCATAACCTCAAGGTTATTAGACCAAGATTTTACTATTGAACCAATGGTCATATAATTTAATAAAATAATGAAAAGACAGAAAACTCTGACTCCTATAAACAGAATAATAAGTAGTGAGTGGTTACCATGAAGGTGATCTTCCAAAGATCCAAAGGGCATGAATTCATAGACAAGAAGTCGTTGTTCCCCATCAGCACAATACCCAATCAAACTAACGAGATTAGGATGATGTAGAAGGCTGAGCATGAGAACCTCCACGAGAAATTCCCTATTACCCTGAAGCCCATTTTTGTCCAATTGTTTGACAGCAACAGCCTGAAAAAGAATATAAGCATTCTCATAAAATCCGGTCAGTACAGTTTTGGTTCAAATTGAATCTAAATCCAAATGATGCAATCTATGGTAGATGAATCGAAAGATTTTCTTCTAAAGCATTGAACTGAAATTTATAAAGAAAAAAAATCTTCTAAAGCTTTGGAAATGATGACACACTAAAAAAATTATCGTAGTCTAACTTGCAGTAATAAAGGTCACAAATCGAGAAAGAAAGGAAGAATTTACCTGGCCTGTGCTTTCAAGCCGCCCTTTGTATACACACCCAAATCCACCTTCCCCTAAGAAACACTCTGGTGTAAAATTCTTTGTTGCAGCAGCAAGCTCACGGAAAGTGAATGTTTGTGCAGCAATATTAACATCAGGAGCCTCCTTTGGACCCCCCAATGACTCCTTCCTCATCCCCACATTGTTTCTTGATTTCAGTCTGTCTCCTCCTGCAAATTCAATTAAGAAATCATGAAGTACCAGTAGCCATTGTTGTCAAATTAGGAATCAAATCATGAATCATTTTGTTAAAATAGTGAATCGTGAATTATATCGAATCATAAATTGTAAGACTTACTTTATTTAACGTAATATATAAGTTTATATACAAAATGAAATAAATATTAATAAAACTGAATTGTATATATGTACACTTAATTGATCTACACTAAATGAAATTGAATCACAATGAATTGTAGCGAATTCAATCAATTTATGATTGAACAACACTAATCCAAGTGTGAATTGTATGATTCTAACAACTATGCCAGTAACAAGTAAACCAAGCCCAAAGACTTGAACATCATGGACACACTGTGATTCTAAAAAGTCATTAGCTTTGTTGCATTGGCGCACAAGTTCAAATTAATATTAAAGAAAAACAAAAAATAAATAGATAAGAATTGAGATCCTCTTGAATTGCATTAACATGTGAAAACCGAAGCGCACCCCATTGAGCCTATAGAGTGTCACTAAAGTGAATCAACTCTGAACCTTGGACATTATATATTGGATCAACAAAACAAGTAAAACTCTTTAATCCTCAAAATTCTCAATCGGATCAATCCGAACAATAAAATTGATTCTAGAAGTATCATTCAATTGCATTTGCATAAACATAAACATAAACATAAACATAAACATAAACATAAAAGAAAACAAAAAACTGACAAGTGCAACAAGTCAAAATTATCAAGTTGACCAAGAAGAAAACATGATCAATCAGATCAGAGTAGTAAAAAATCAACCAAAGTCATTCACAAAACTATTAATTAATGAAACAGAGAAGAGACTAACCAGAAGATAATTTAGATATGTTGGAGGGGAGAGTTGGGTGGATTTCATTGCGATGATCTCTTTGTTTATCGGGATTGAGCTGTTTCTCTTCCTTGGAATCAAAACAAGGAAAACAACCCATTTATCTCTCTCCCTCAAAATCAAAGATTTCTTCAAACCCTTCTCTTCTCTTCTCTTCTCTTCTCTTCTCTTGAAGTTGTCCGATTCACACAAAATAGATCAGATTTTCAAATTCCAGCACTCACCACATCAAACATGCATCCAAACCACAATCCACAAGTTGAAGAAAACCACAACAAATCCAAATAATGGAGGAGGTGGATTATTGTGACAGCCGGCTTTGGGTTTGCTTTAGCTTTGGCTTTGGCTTTGGCTTTGGATTTTCAAAAACATCAGATGAGCCTGTGTCTTTTACATGTGTACTTCTATTATATATGTGTGTTCACACTATATAACTTTGACCAAAACACTATGCATCTTCAACAGCTAGTGTTGAGTTAGAAATAGATATTTACACACGTATATTTGTGAGAGAGACAGAGAACAGAGAACAGAGAACAGAGAACAGACAACAGAGACAGAGACAGTTGTTTGTGTAGACGCGTGAAGAGGCGGAATGAGCGGAGCATACGAGAAGGGAGGGAGAGGGACTGAATGGGACCGATTCAGTTTTTTATTCACTTCATTTCCACACCGTACCCGTTACGATTATGTAATATATTATGAAAGTTTAATTTAATAATGTTTTTTTTAAAAAAATTGAAATAAATTACACCTGTTTGTAATAATTTTATTCTGTTTTTTTTTATTATGTAACTTAATCTAATTAATAGTTTTTTTTAAAAAAAAATATTGGACTAAAATAATGGGATACAATAGCGTATTTATTAGGGCTGAGCAAGAAATCCGTAAAATCCGTAATCCGATCCAGTCCAGTCCAATCCGATAGGTTTGGATTGGTTTTTTGAATCCGTGGTAATTTTTTTATATATTACTAAAAAAAATTATGATTTTAATATTTATTATCTTTTTATAAAATATTTTTTGACAATTGTCTAATTCCCCCATTAATTATCTTTTAAATAGACTATTTTACTTTTGAATTTCGTTTAATTTTTTAACTGCGATTATTAACATAATATAAAAATTAAATGATATAATTGAAATTATATAAACCAACTTGCCACAAGAAATTCTATAAGAATTACGAGTATAATACATGTAAATGTTAGAGTTGGTGTTGATGTCTCGTTTTTTAGATTTTTCCAAAATATCCTTATAGTAGTTACGTAAGCAGTTATGCCCTAAATTCAATAAGATTTTTTTTTTTTCAAATCTCTCAACTTTTGATTTTTCTAAATTTATTTTAATATCTAAATTTTGAATTCAATTATACAATTTATAATCTTATTTTTTTGAAATAAAATCGCAGTTCGTCACTTCTAGTATAAAAAATGTATAAGATTATAAAATAAAATGATATAATTTAATGTCATTTTTTTATTTAAAAATACAACACCTATTATTACAATTATAATTTTTAAGTAAGTTATTGTCATATTATATTGAAAGTAAATTCTGTATAGCATTTTTCATTATGAAAGCTCAGCCACTAAAACCATGGGTGATGATGCTCCTGGTCAATCCATTAAGATGCCCTTGCATTACTCACTGATTAGTGGGCTGTTTTTGGACCTTTCAATTTCTAGATGCACATGATAGACCTACAAGTATTGTTTGATAATGTTGTTAATTTTTATTTTTTATTTATATAAAATAAAATATGAAATGAGTTTTTGGAGTAGGCTGATGTGGTGACCAGAATAGTTCATTAAAATTGGTAGTTGAAATTCATAACGTGATTGGAATTGGTTTGAGGTCATGGGGTTGTAACTAGGGGTGAGCATGGTCCGGATTGGATTGGATTGAGGTAAAATCAAGACCAATTCGTTATTTACGGTTCTTAAAAAATTGGAACCAATCCAATCCGTTTAAATCATGGAACCAATCCGAACCAATCCATTTAAATACGGATTGGATCGGTTTAGGACCACGGATTCACATAATTAAATAACAAATATATATATATATATATATATATATAACACTTGAATTTCATAAAAATATAAACATAGCACTATATTAGTTCCATAATAGCAACATGTTTTTCTATAATAACGACATACTGTTCTAGAATTTAAGCAACTATAAGAAAACTGATTTCACCATAAGTATTTAGACCATTGCAAATTAAAACTTAAAACTAACAAACAAAAGTAATAAAAGAAGATATTATACGGTTTTAGGTTTGAGTTTAGATTTTATATAGAATAAGAGAAGATACTATGGGGGAGGATGTATAATAAAAATATAGACTATTTGTATACGGTCCGGATCGATTCCAATCCGGAACCGTGGGATTCAATCCGGAACCAATCCGTGAACTACGGATTTTTAATTCTTCAATCCGGAACTGAACCGCGGATTCAAAAAATCAATCCAAACCTATCGAATTAGACTGGACTGGATCGGATTACAGATTTCGCGGATTCCTTACTCAGCCCTAGTTGTAACTGTTTGTTTGTACAACCTCATTAAAGAGTTGTTAAATATTATCGAAACTAGGTAGATTGTCGTTGAGTGATGCGTAGAGCTCACTAGAAAATCTCTATGGTGGGGGACAAATAACAAAGTAGAAACTCGTTTTGCAAATAAGTATAATAAATAAATAAATAAATATTTTTTTTCAAATTTTTTTTTATTAAATTAGAATAAATTTCACATTTTTTAAAACAAAAACAATATACAAAATAAATTTTCATTTCCAATTTTCAAAATAAAAATAAAAACAAAAAGTGAAAATTGAAAATTGAAAATGAAAGTGTTATCCAATGAGGCCTTAGGATTTTAAAATCAAGTTATTTAGTTCGGTTTATTTAAATTTCAATTGAAATTACTTATTATGTTTTAAGTTTATTTGAACCCAGCACCACAAATTTAATCAGTGTGTTTGGTTTGAGTTTTTTAGATTAAATTTTTTGAAAATTGATTTTTTTAATTTTCGTATTTTTTTGTTTTTAGTGAATATTTTTAAAATTTAAATATTTTTTTAAACTTTTTTAGACGCATCTTACTGAGATGCATCTAAAAAGTAAAAAATTTTTGAAAAAATATTTTTAAAAATTAATAAATACATAAAAATATAAAAAATGTACTGAATTCTCTTTTTTTTTGTATTTTTGGTATTTAGTGAATTTTTAAAAAGTTTTTTCACAAATTTTTTACTTTTTAGGTATATTTATGTTAGATATGTCTAAAAAGTAAAAAAAAATTATTTAAAATATTAAAAAAATTCAGTAAAAATAAAAATATATATATAAAAAATAAGAAAATAGAATTTTTAAGTTTCAAAAAACTTATTACAGTTTTCAAGTTTTAACCATTACTTCACTCAAATTGTGGCCAATTAAGACTTTGCCTAAGTCCTTGTTTGGATCAACTTTTTTATTTAGCTTTTGTTTTTTGTACCAACTTTTAGTTTTGACTTTTGATCAAACAAACAAAAACAAGAACTTATACTAAAATCAAATATAAATAAATAAAAAATATAGCATTATTGTTCAGTTAGTTCTTTATAAGGCGATTTAAAAACTAACCATAGTAGTATATAATGATATTAATATGCCTTGTTATGTAAAGGCTTAACACGTACAACCCAAAAGAAAAAATAGAAAAAAATAAAAAAAGAATAGCCTAATTTTATGGGATAACCATGTGACTAACCCACACCCTTTTTTATGCAAGTCTTGTTTCCTAGATACAAATGTCCTCGCGCATGTATGTTTTTCTAAATGAAATGAATGCAACAAACATGTGCTCTTCATTGATTGGAATCTCTTAAAATATAACGAAATTAATGCAATTTACATGCAATTTTTAATAAATAATTCTTTTACGTATTCAAAATTCAATCACAAAATTAGACATAATTCTCACATCATGAAATGAAACTTATTTATTTGTGAAAGAATTGTGCTTGTACTTTAAAAAAAAAAATTATTTAAAAAAGCAGTATTCAAAAATTTAAATCGAGATATTATTTTTTCAAATTGATAAAAGAATATCCAAATAAAAAATTCTCACTCTCGCATTCTTTCATCCAACTAGATTCATAATTTTTGATATTTTGTTTTTCTCTTTGTCCCTCAATGTCTCTTTATATGATACAATATTTGCTTGAATTTTTCAAGAGAAATATTATTTATCACAAGCTTTATATCACTATTTTGTTTCACTTCTTAGATATACTGATACAATAAAAATTATGTGTGTATATATATGTATATGACCTATCATATTTAACAAATAGTAAAATTTACAATGCTATCAATATAAGTCACGTATATGTATAAGACCTATCATATTTAACAAAAAGTAAAACTTATCATATTATATACAACTCCACATAAAAAATGAAATATTCAAGCAAAATTTTTAATATTAACTCCAAATAAAAATGTGCGAGCCAAACACAAGATTTGACTAATCCCGGAATATACTTAACCACCTCATCAAATACCTATATATTTCCAAAATCAATTGCAAAATATATTGACTGCTATCATATGGTCCATGTGAAAGCTTCATGGATCATTTTAATCTGATTGCATCCAATTTTCAACAAACACATTGACCAGCACTGACGGTGGACACACATTTGTTGAAAAGAAAAATAAGAAAATTCAGTCACAGACTTTTCACATAGACCTTGGGGTATGTTTTTATTCTATATACCTATAGTTGGTCGTTTTCATCTTTGCAGAAAAGTTTGGTGACTTCTGAAATTTTGAGTCTGAACTCCGTGAAAGCAATTGATTCAACAATTTGTGAGCATTAGTCAGTCAATGTATGAACGGAAAGCCTAGCGTGTGGAAAAAAATTGGTGACCTCTTGTAACTTCCAAGTAACTTGCAATCATAAATATAGTGAGTTTTTAACCATTAAGGTGATTAGTTAGGAACACTGATACTAAAATTATTGATTACAAGTTAAATCTTTGTTATAAGTGTAAGTTTGTACATAAATTGTTTGTCTACCTAGCTCTGAAATTTAAAATTTCTTTTATTACTCCTTTAGTTTTGTACAATCACTTGTACATATTACTTTGTTCTAAGTGGAATCGTGTCTCATGTCCGGCTAATTTTTGGAAGCAATAAATATTATTTCAATTATTATAACTTATCATTGACTTGGTTTACTCTCGATTCAGTTTTTATCAACACAATCTGTATATTTGATCGGACACTTAACTATATATTTATGCAAACTTTTAACAAAACTGTCTCCCTCTCAACTTTGCCGAATTACGTAATCATGAAAAATTACATCCCTCAATCCGCCACCATTATTATTTGAACAGATAGGTTAAGCAATAAGTAATAAGTAATTTAGAGAGAGAGAGAGAGGAGGCCCAAAGGCCAACACCATCTGATGGGCTAGAAATTGGGTTGTTTGGGAATACACAATCTTATGGGCCAGATATGGGCCCCTATTCTCAGAAGGAAGCCAAA